CATACATACATACACACACACACACACACACACACACACATATATATATATATATAATTTTTGAATGAATTGAAATTTTAAGAATAAATCTGAGAAATCTGCAAGTTACTCCAAACCTCCTAGTTTAGTGATACCGTTTCAGAATTAATCAGAAAATGAAAACCATAAACATAAAGATAACATATATAGTCCTTACATTCTAAAAACAGTTTGACTGCGTTAAAATTTATTGTTTACATCTTTGCATCACATCTCTGCAGCGAAAGCTGTTTCTAACACTGCAAACAAAGTTAGAGAGTTACTAAAGTGATAAAGTAAAGTAAAAGTGTCTTACCGCCTAGTCTCGTTTTGCAGAACTGTAGATGCGGATGTTCAAGTGTGCTCAGATCATGTGTGTACCAGGAAATCGAGTTTACCAATCACAACTCAACGCCTCACACTAACACACAGCTGCTCTGACAAACACCACACAAGTGTACTTAAAATTGATTTACGGTTTGGGAAACATCGCCATTTATGTTTGTAGCTACTTGCAAATGAATGTCAAATTATTAATAATAGCAAAATTATGTATAATAAAATATAACAGGGTTCAAGTATCACAGGACGTATAAGTAAGTTTGACAGTGATCTCTGTTGTTGCACGTGTGCTGCAAAGCAAACAACTGCAACGTTAGCATCGTCAGTCTGATATTGTGTAATCAAACACATTTATCAAACTTTTCAGTACAACCGTGTGTCGTATCACTCGTATCAGGATATTAATGGCTGCGTGAAAACTCTTATGAAAATGAAGAAAGACCGAGCAGTGTCAGTGTAGTCCTGTGGTTTCTCCGTATTCCAGTGTGCAGCGTCTCAGCAGGTATCTGCACTACTGTCTATGAGCTCCTAAACATGCGTTCTGCACAAACTCATCTGCTAAAACGTATGACACGATCTTTGTTTCAACAAGTCTGTAAATTCCTCGGAAGTGCTTTTCGACGTTTCTTAGTTAAACCAATGCCTACACAAAACTGCAGTTGGAATCAGCTTCCACAAAAGATCAGATGTGCTAAAACATTAGCCACATTTAAATCCAGACTCAAAACTCGTATGTTTAGCTGTGCATTTAGTGAATGAGCACTGTGCTATGTCCGAACTGATTGCACTGTATTTTATGTAGCAGGTTATAATTTTTTTCTATTCTTAACTGTTTTAATTCATTTAAAATCAATTTTAGTTTATTTTAAGTTTTTATTTATTTATTTATTATTTTAATTCATGTTATGTAAAGCACTTTGAATTACCATTGTGTATGAAATGTGCTATATAAATAAACTTGCCTTGCCTTGCTGCAAACAACTGCGCTTTTACGCCGAAACGTTGAATGTTGACATGTTAAATGTTCCTTAAATGCAATTTTATAAAATGAATAAATATCTTAATATAAGACTAATATATCTACACTGTTAAATGTGAAGTTATAAATTATTAATTCAAATTATGCTAAACATTTGGCCTATAAATTTGAGACGCCCTTGTATGATGTTGTCAAGCATATTAAATCTGGACAAAATTGGTCAGTTATTGTATCAGATTTTGTTCGAGTAATAGGCCTGTACCTGGTATAGTAGCACTCATCATTTGTTTTGTTTTTTTGTATGGTAACATTTGTTCATTTTTATGCACTCTTTACATAAGTTGATTAGATAGATAGAGTTCTTTGTGTCCCTGGGTTGATCCTGGTATTGCTGGAGTTGCACTGCAGTAGAGCAGGGCTGAAGCGAGTTGAGGAATGCTGAAGAGTAGCCTATAGTTTAGCCCTAGGCCTCAGCTTTTATCCCTCAGCCATACCTGTTTTTTTTTTCCTCCAGAAAAGACTATGCTATTCCACCGGTTCTCACTCTTTTTGATTCCAAGGCCCTCCATTGTCCATGACGATATTCAAAGCCCTTCTGCACAATCCAGCTATGTTGCAGTGGTCAAAATTGTCTGAGTGAGACCTCAGATGCAGTTTCACCTGAGTGAGAAATATGATGTCAGTTTACATGTTGTAGATCTTCAATTTATTAACAGTTTGAAGCATTTTAATTAAGTTCGATTTAATATATAAGTAGTCTTGTGAATTTGCTGAGGACCCTGGTTGAGAATTACTGTGCTTTACTGAGCATCAGACTAGTTTAGTGTGTCAGCTTTTAAGAATCTTGCTACCCCCTTCTGTTTAAAAATTGAATTACTTTTTCACCACCCCGCTCTTTAGTGTTTGATGTCTGTTTGCATTATTGTATCTTTTTTATAACATTGTTTATGTGTATTTATAAAGGCTTATGTATAATGTCTAACTGCTGCTGCTACTACTAATAATAATTCTTACTCTCTTAAATTATATTTAACAGTAACTTAAACAGAACACTTAAAAACAATTAGGCACTAATTTGAGACCAAGGTAAGTTATGCTTTATCACTTTTATGCCATTGCCACAGAAGACTCTCTGCAATTCTCTGAACCACACTTTAGGAGCTCTGTGAGATTATAGTCAATCCACGCCTGCAGGGAATGGTGGGTAGGCCTAATTCAGAGTGAAGTTAACTTTCAAAGAGACCGCTGTGAACGGGAGATGGAGGGCTTTGAGCTCTCTATTTCTTTGAACTGTCTTTAAAAGGCAGTCCTTTTTATTGTTGTATCAGCTCATATGTAATCCGTAAAGGCTGCCTGACGATATTTTACCTGTTGGACTGAATTCCTCTTCTCTTAGAGAAGCAGGTGTTCTTTATCAAATGTATTAACGCTCTCAGCCACATGTCACTCATATCCCAGAACTACATTTGACATCTGTCTCTGTGTGACATGATCTTCTTTAATGGTGCTCAAACCCCAACATCAATCACAATCTCTATGTCAGGGACTTAACTTTAAGTAGGCCTACATTAGTGCGTAGCATAGATTAGGCCTAAGCCATGCTGAACGTCATTGGTCTATATGAAGTGCAGATAATACTGTTGTCTTTTTCACTTTAATGTTGACATGCTGTGTGTTTAATGCTGCAGGGACACAGTCACCATTTCAAAATTAATGAGTTATATATATATATATATATATATATATATTTATATTTGATTGGATAGATAGATGATAGATAGATAGATAGTTTATTCAACTTTCTTCATTATTTACTAAGGAAAGTCAGTGAATGATGATGTTTGATATGGTGACCATGCATCCTGGCAAGGATTTTTACATTGCCTAAAATGTCAAGGTTTTGGCTTTGTTTTCCTATTCACATGCTTTCTGCAGTCTTCATACATTATACTGTATGCACACGTATTGCTATGTACTGCTTTGGCTGTTCTCTGTAGATCCCACCTTCTCCCATGCCACGATTGGTGGATTATGTACAATGTCAGCACACTAATGGTTAAACTACTTTTCAATCATTACTTTCAGCAAGTATGAAAAAGAAATAAGAAAAATGCCAAAACCTAGACCTTTTGAGCAATTTAGAAATCCTAGCCAGGACAAAGATGATGTAAGGTCATCCAATGTTTACAGATGTCTGAAAGTTCTTTGAAATTTGAAATCATTTTTGAGTGAAATTGCTGTTGATGGCAATTCAATGAATGAAAATGTTTGCAAAAATCTAGAAGATTCTTTGAAGCACATGTTTCTTGCAAAGGAGCTTATATAGCCATCCAGGGTTGATCTAATGTCATTATCAAAGTTGTTGACCGCTTGGATGCTTGTGAGTGCAGATTTTGTCTTCATTCATTTCCTCTGCAGATGCCATGAATGAAGCATGTTCTATCTAATCCATGACAGACTCTCCAGGTGTACTGATGTGAGTTGACCATTCAAAAAGATTTCTCAATGAAGGCCGGTTTGTGTTTTCAGAATCCAATGAGTGTTCTTGGCCCTTTGCCTGAGTTAACCTGCAGCAGATTGCTGCTGTGCCACTGCGCCAATCTGTCAGGCTTTGCTGTTGACCCATTGACGCAAACATGGGCCAGCCTGAGTGTATTTAAGCTGGCTTTCCTCGACCGCAAGAAGAGAGATTGACGTTGAACGAGAAGTTGTTGAGTCCCCAAGAACCTGTTATTTTTTTTAATCTGATACAGACGGTGTACGGGATGAGCTCGGGAAATAGCTGCGACAGTCTCAGCGACTCACCTATAAGCCCGATAAGAGTGGTGGGACCAACAGCACCCAGAAGAGGACCACCTAAATTCAAACAGAGAATGACAAGGCAATTCAAAAGCAAACCTCCCAAGAAGGGAGTCAAAGGGTGAGTAGATGACATTCAAATCTGCTTGATATCTCTATACATTTTTTTTTTAAAGTAAAGGCATTTTTGGTTCCATGAAGAACCTTCATCCATGGAATCTTTCCATTTTATAAAAGATTGTTTATAGTGGTTCTTCACATTAAGAGAAAAAGGGTTCTTTTAAGAACTGTTCACTGAAAGGTTCTTTGGGGAACCAAAATGGTTCTTCTATGGAGGAGCCATTTTTTTAAAGAGTGTATTGGGAATTAACCTTTTTTTTCAATTTCTTCTCTTCTTTAATTAGATTTGGAGATGAGATCCCAGGAATGGATGGTCTTGGGACTGGTGAGAACAACTCTTGGAACATTGCTTATGTATTTATCAAATTACTGTGTTGTGTTATATGCTAAACCCACTACTCTTGCAAACTGATTTTTCTCACTGTCTGGCTCATTGCCGTGCTTCATCTGCCAACTTCTTTCATGCACAGACTTCACCGTGGTGTGTCCGTGGGAAGCCTTTAGCCATCTGGAGTTGCACGAGCTCGCCCAGTATGGTATTATTTGAACTGGACAACTGGAAGATGTGTCACCTGGACTTGTTTAGTGGACTAGACTAGTTCCACCTCTGGATCCCAAATGAGGGATGCTGCAAATGGACACTTGCACCATTGCCTTGAAACAGTTGTATAAACGCCAAACCACCAGCCTATGAATGCACAATACATAATGTAGTGACTAGGAGGAATTAGGTTTATGAAGGTTTATAGCAGGGATGCCCAAACTCGGTCCTGGAGGGCCTGTGTCCTGCAGAGTTTAGCTCCAACCCCAATTAAACACACCTGAATCAGCTAATCAAGCTCTTACTAGACATACTAAAAACTTAACGGCAGGTGTGTTGAAGCAAGTTGGATCTAAACTCTGCAGGACACTGGCCCTCCAGGACCAAGTTTGGGCAGCCCAAGGATGATATAAAGTTGTGGAATGTGGAGCAATGTGGAATTTGATTCCAGTCTGTTTGCGTTCTTTTCTACAGCACATAACCAAAATACTTATTTTCAATATCTATGAACTTTTTATTTGTGCTAATTCTATACTTTTTAGTAAATGTTTTCTGAGAGGAGAGGCCTTATTAGCTGTGTAAATCACTTTCACACATCTGTTGTATGATGTCTTAGAATTTCTTCTGCTGTTAGCAAATGTGGCTTAAATGAAATAGACCTTAAGCTGTTGTTAAATATGTTCAAATAAATATTTGATGTAGACATGGTATTTTCCTCAAGTATTTGAAACATGAACAAGAAATATGTACAATAGCTGCAAAAAAAATCTTTCCTCAAATGAATCTTTCTGAATAAAATATCTTTTAAATGATTAGTTGTCCACAATAACTGTTCTGCTGCTCAAATTGCTTTCTCCTAATTACTTTAGTAAACAGCCTCTTTTCTATTTTTTCTAAATTATTAGTGCTGTCAAACGATTAATCGCGATTAATCGCATTCAAAATTGACATAAAAGAAAAATCGAAAATTTTGACACATACAATGTATTTTTGGCTATTGCTACAAATATACCCCAGCGACTTAAGACTGGTTTTGTGCTCCAGGGTCACATATATAAATACACACACATGCATGTATATATTTCAGAAAAATATGTTATGCTTATATATTATATTAATTTATAATATAAATTATATTAATTTAAATATAGCCATGTAAATACATGTAAATATTTTCAAAATATATACTGTATGTGTGTGCATTTATATGTACATAATAAATATACACAGAACACACATATATTATGCAAACAAAAACTTTTATTTTGAATGCGATTAATCGCGATTAATCGTTTGACAGCACTATAAATTACTTATTCATACACACTAACAGGGTAATACATAATCAGTAAGTTACATTTGTTATGCGTTACAACTGAAAGAATGAGCTTGTCAACATTTTTCTCAAACTAAAGGATCATAAAAGTATGTATTTTTTAGATCTAAGCATATGTAGGCCGATACAATTTACATTTAGTCATTTCGCATTTGAATTTAATGCGAGCAGCTACTGGTAGCCAGTGCAAATGGATGAACAGAGGTGTGACGTGTTCTTTTCGGCTCATTAAAGATTAACCTTGCAGCAGCATTTTGGATTAGTTGTAGAGGTTTGATAGAAGTGGCTGGAAGACCTGCCAAGAGAGCATTGCAATAGTCCAGCCTCGACAGAACAAGAGTCAAAATTTAATTTAAAATGAAGTTAAAAATTTAACAGCGTTTTCAAACACGCCAGTAACCCCAAAAGTTAGATTAGTTGTACTAAATGTGCAATTGCGAATCGATTTAGGATAGTTGATGGTTCACTAAATGTGGGTTGCTTTGACGAGCATCAACCGATTGCACCAGACAATTACTGACAGCAGGATCGGAGTGAGGCAACCAAAATTATGAACTGAAGAATACACCACATACAAATTAAAAAGTCTATTAATCGAAATGATGAATATCAGACGACAGTATTGATTATGTTCTTCTATGAAATATTACACCGCTGTATAAAACATTGACCTTGTCTTTTTTATCCTATAAGAATAATCAGGGAGTAAAAACAATATGTAAACTAGAGCACTGGCACAGTTACCGAATGCTCTAGAGCAGCTGATGCCAGACAGATGTATTTTGGCACCTATCGATTTGAGAGGATTAAGGAAAGGAGAGTTGAGACTTGCTCTAAATGGATTAGGACTCACTGATCTTAACCCTCAGGCAGCTGCACTGCAGATGGGCATATTTAATGCTCTTCGCTCAATTATTTATTTAGTTAGTTAGTAATGGAGCAAGATCCAATTAAAATAAATGTATATAGATGATTACAGTTTAATACTCTTTAAGCACTTGTACCATAGGTAAAAAGCATTTGCCAGTCCATAATAAAACACTAACAAGACGACCTTATACTCACCCATGATTCAGCAGTATTCAAATATATTTACATAATCATAAATTATACAATTATGTAAATATTTTTTCTTTAAATTATTATAAATCCATATGTGATACTGTTTAATTACTTAGCAGTCTCTCCTGAGATATACTACATAGAGGCTGATTGTTCACAAGATATGTCTCACTGTGTGTATAAAACATGTTTAGCTGCATATAACGGTGTTGATTATAATAAACAGGGTGGATCGTCATGGGATTCATACTTGAAAATGTCCGTGAGATATTTGCCAGTCCATAATAAAACACTAACAAGACCTTATACTCACCCATGATTCAGCAGTATTCAAATATATTTACATAATCATAAATTATACAATTATGTAAATATTTTTTCTTTAAATTATTATAAATCCATATGTGATACTGTTTAATTACTTGGCAGTCTCTCCTGAGATATACTACATAGAGGCTGATTGTTCACAAGATATGTCTCACTGTGTGGATAAAACATGTTTAGCTGCATATAACGGTGTTGATTATAATAAACAGGGTGGATCGTCATGGGATTCATACTTGAAAATGTCTGTGAGATCCTTGTAGCATTAGTCATAGAATTCCTTTTTACACGTTCACACCTTACACCATTTTGTTTTCAGATAGCTCACAAGAATGTACCATTGTAGTATAAAGACGAATATGCCAAGTACAGCTTAGTCATGTAGTGTTGTGTTGCCTTAGCAAATTTAAACATGGGCTAAGTTTCCTGAAGCACTTCATAGAACGTCAGTCACATAATGCACGTTTCTCAGAATCACCATCTAAGTTAAGTGAAAACATGTATAGCCAAAGCCTTAGCCTGCTTATAAATTCATCGATTGAAACAAAATTGGGGACTTATAATCCACGTTTACTAGCTTTGAAGCCATCTTTATGATAGTAGACTCAAAAAGGTTGGCAATGAACTTTTAACAGATATACACATTAAAGAAATGCATGTTCGAACCAAAAATATTGCCCGTTCTTGAACTGCACAGATGTTTATCCAAATACGATCACGATCATCTGAGAGAGACACTAAAGAGGAATTCATTCGTTGATTCATAGCTTTATTAGTTCACAAAGTTGTTCAAATGGTTATAAAACTCTTATTTTTTACTTCAAATCAACAACCATATAAAAAGTAGAGATCAGCATAGAGAAAAATCATTAATCAATAAACACAAATAATGTTGGCTTTAAACAATGAAGCATAGAGTCAAACTTTATAGCACACAAACAAACCAGGATGTCGTGTTAATACGCTTCATCTGATGTTCAGTTAAATAATGTTTGTTGCAATCACCGCTTGGCAATTATTTTAGCATAATCATCTTTCACTGCTCAATACTGTGATTTATATGTTCATTTTCAAGTATAGATTTTCACAGAAAACAAATGCAGCTCGAGGCAGAAAATTCACATTGTGTATAGACACGAACTACCCTCTCGAAATGTACTTCATAAAACCTCTAGCTATAGTTTTAAACTCGTACCAAAACTTGCCAGTGCCAAGAGGCTTGTGAAAAATAGGATTTATGCATTTAATTTTAGGGCCTGATCCACCCTAACAGATTTAATACCAATTAAATTGATAAATGAAGACAGAAACATTTAAAAATCCTAAAACGGCATTAGGTAAACAAAAATGTAATTAACCATATTTGCATATCTGTAACAATATAATATGTAGTAATCTGTATGAAGTGCACATCACCAACAGGTTTCTTAATGAGAAGAACCTATTTTATTCCATATCAGCAAACTTGCTTGAATTGTCCTGCATATTTATAATGAATAGCTTACTTTGAGCTAACAACACTAGAACCTGTTAAGCATTAGCAAGTAAGTATTCAAAACCACAGCCTTGCTGAAAATGAAAAATAAAAAACGCATACTGACACATTGTTATGTCAATATACATTATCACTGGCATGGCAATACACAGGGATGTACACATCTCAAATGATAACTAGCCATGATAAACATGGAAGGTGACACAAAATGTTGCTTTTGGAGAGGCACGAAAAGTGAGGGCTCCTGAAAAGCTCATCTACTCTAAAATATTATAATTGTAATAAATAAACAGTCTCATTGTGCAAAACTAACATAATGTGCTCATCCGCTGTATTTCTACAGGCAAAAATAAACACATAACTAATGGTGTAATAAAGGAGCAAAAATGTATTTTTCAAATAATCAAGCCCTTAAAATACTGAACGTCAGACAACTTGTGCATGTTGCAGGTTTGTGTTTGGCATCTTTGACATGAGAGAGACTCTGACCAGCCCCTGAGTTGGTGCTCTGAAGGCAGGGTCCAGGGTGAACATGATGACCAATCATGTCTGAGCCAGGTGAAGCTCCTCCAGACCATCTTTACCCAAATGATAGCGGGCTAGATCCTTCCTGGTTACCAGTCCCACAACCTTCACAGAATTATAAACTGATAACATTACTGTGGATGAATGATATTTGGAACGATATACGGTCAATTATGACTGATACAATAAGCTGTTAATTATTTTGATGCTATTGCAGACAACCGGTGTATAAACTGGTCAATATACAAATTTTATATTATTTCCTCTATAATATTATATTTCCTCTATATAAAGAAATGATTGTGAAAGAAATTAATAATAATAAAACATGATTTTTATAGCACTTTTCATAAATAAAAGCTCAAGTGCAATACAACAGGCATAAAAATAAAAACACAACACTGACAATGTGATTTCACACAGTATTAATATCAATACATTTAAATCAATATACTCAAAAGCAACTTTAAAAATATATGACTTGACTTGCCTTAAAAAAAAATATTAATGCTTGAAGCCTGTCTAACTTTA